AATTATAAATTTTAATATAGAGAGAAAATTTTAATTTTCACTATATTTTATTAATAAATTTAGCTTCTGAGTTATTATTTAATCATTACTATATATATATAGTATTAAATCTTTTTATAATTATATCACTTTATAATTATCTTTTTTTATAATTATTTTTTTAAGTTTTTTAGTTACTAATTAATTATAATTAAAAAAATTTTTCTATAATCATATTTCTTATTAATTATCTAATTTTGCTTTTTCAAGTATAATAATTATAGAAAGATTTGATTATATATAAAATTTTATATTTTTAAATAATTTTTTATTAAATTATAAAAAATTTAAAAAATTAAGTTTTTTAATTAAAATTTTTATTATAATTAAAATATATAATATAAAAATTTTTTATATATTAAAATAAATTAATAAATTAATATTTTTTAATTTGAATTTCTAATTATTTTTTTTAAGAAAATTATCTAATACAAAATTTAATTAATATAGTTAAAATTTCTTATTTCATTAATTAATAAAATGTATAAAGGAAAATTTTATAATAATTCATAATGTTATAATTTTATTTATATTTAAAATATAATTTTGTAATTGGATTCTTTCAAAAAATCCAAAATACTTTTTTTATATATATATAAATTTATATAACTATTAATTTACATATTTTCATGTTTTTTATTTTTTTTTAACTAATAAAAAAAGTCACTGATAGATTTTTGTGTGATGGCTAAATGAACTGCACTGCATTATGGATTTCTAACTAATAAATTATAAAATAAATAATATTATTCTATTGATCACTCAATGGAGTAAACATGCTTTCCGGTTTTCTTAATAGTCGCCAGAACGTCCTCTTTTGTAATAGTAGCATTAGCATTAACAGTGACAAGTTTTTCCGCGAGATCTATGTCCACGCTTTCAATACCTGAATTACAAAGTATATTGATTTAAATATTAAAAGAAAGCTTAATATAACATATTGATTAATTGAGTAATTAAGTACCATCAACTTTCTTCAAAGCACTCGCTACTGAGTTTTTGCAGCCGCCGCAGGTCATTTCGACAAAAAATTTATAGGTTTGCTAAAAATATAATCAATAAGAAAATGAGTGATTGACCAGTTATAATGAAAAAGAGACTAGCAAAAGTTCATATTAAGTGTAGTGATTATTTTCACTTCGTGAATTTACACTCGTGAATAAATTGTTTAAATTTGAATTCTCCATCTTATTAAACACTTTTTTTTAACACACATACGTACCACTTCAGACATGATTGTAATAGACAATACAAAAGCCGTAGAAGTAAAGAACGGACGGAATACGATTTTGATAATAGAATTAAAAAAAAGGCAAAAGGCAAAGTGAGTTTTTTAAAACTTCCTGTGCCCACACATTCATCCTTTTATATACCAAATAAAATTATCCGACAGATTTGAATCACGTTTCAGTTACCAAATATGTTAAATAATAATTGAACTAAAACTTGTTTTACTTTTTGAGCGGTGACTGATAAAACTTCTCCATTACAAAAATTGAAAGACAAAATATAGTGAATGGTTTTAAAAAATAGATGAAACAAAAATGTTGCCATATTTATTTTCTAAAAAAATATATGCAAAGTTATTCTATAGAATAAAAAATAAAATAATTAAAAAATCATTAGTATTCTTATGAACGTGTTCTACTTCGCTCGAAACATTTATTATCAGAGAAATAAATACCTATATCATTTTCATTGCCATTATCAATATTACAGGACTCTCGTAGTTATTTATTTATTTAATGATACATAAATAGACCTCATACGATGATAATAATAATAATGATGATGATGATGATAATGATGATTTTATACTGTTTCCTCCTCCCTCCAATATTCACCAAGCACTGGAATCTTTCTTAAAATGTCTCTACGAACGATCGGAATCGCTTCGGCGATTTCAGATACGTATATCCCAGCGGCAACGCTAAATCCAATGATAGACGGCGCCCTGATGGATAATAATGATTAATATTGTTGATTTCTATAATATCAAGTCATTGATTGATAGACGTATAAAAAAGATTTGAAGACTGTTCAAATACTGATTACTACTTTTTTTTGCACCAGACCATATCAATAAATAAGCAAATGCAACTTTTAAAGATCTTTCTTTATAGAGTCCATTACTTCAGCTTGAACTGAAAACAAAATCAGATATGATGAACATCATAAAAAACTTGTTAATAATAATAATTTCTTTCTGATCCTTATGTCACTTTACTTGATTCAAATGATGACTTAACAAAATCATATATAAATAAT